GGTCGTTGTGGGAAGAAGTGTCTTCTCTCCCATGTCGCCTCCGGTAGGGTTCTGAAGAGGGAACATCAAATGTTCGGCGCGGCGGTTTTGCTTGATAGTGTCGGTCCACCTCTCAAGAGTCTCGTTCGCTTTGGCGTTGGCCGCGGCGCGGTCGAGCTTGTCTTGCTGTCGTTTCGGTAAAGGCGCGTCTAGTTTCCTAGCGATGTCGTTTCGTTTCGAGGATTTGTCGTCTTGCAGCAGCTTGAGCGCCTTCTTTTTCTCCGCGTCGGCGACCTTGGGCTTGAAACTGAGGAGGTCGACCTTGCGAGAGACACCAAATTCGTCCGGTGCAGCCGACTCATGGGCATCCACTCTCCTGCCCTTGGGCTTGTCGTCTTCCCGCGAAGCCAACGAAGAGATCAAGTTCTGCAATTGCGCCTGGCGATCATCCTCATCTTCTTCGTCGGACGAGAGATCCGATGCGCCATCCGCTGCGGGGTCTTCGCCTTCACTTGGTTCCGAGTCGCTGTCGTCGAATGCGGAGGCCTTCTTCTTCTTCTCTTTTTCCATTCGCTCCTCAGCCTCATCCTCCTCGTATTGATCTAAGGCAGTAGCCAGATCGATAGCATCCTCGCCAAGATCGTCCTCGTCGTCCTCCTCTCCATCTGCACTGTCGCCCTCGTCGAGATCGATGTCGCCATCCTCGTCCATCATGTCTTGCTCTCGTTTCGACTTCTTTGCCTTTCCCTTGTGGTTCTTGGAACTGCCTCTGAACGTGTAGCCTTCGAAGCGTTCTTCGTCGCTCTCGCCGAACGCCTCGTCCGAGTCAATGCTCTCGTCATCGTCGTCGTCTTCAACGTGGCCCATCTGCCAGGTGTTGCCCTCGGAGTCGCTTCCTTCGTCGTAGCTCTCGTCACCAGACTTCTTCTTGCGCCGCTTGGGCCCGTCTTCCTCGTCTTCATCCTCGTCGTCCTCTTCGTCGTCGTCGCGCGCACGCTTGCGGTTGAAGGCGGGGTCGAATTCGCCTAAGCGGTTCTTGCGCACTTTCGCATCGTCGGGATTCTCGTACTGGGCGATGGAGAAGGCGTCGAGGGCGCGCTTCTGCGCTTTCTTGGGGTTTCGCGACTTCGCATTGCCTTTGCTTGAAGCGCCGCCGCTTTGAATCGAGCTGCGTGCTACTCGGGGCGGCATTTTGGCGTTGTGGTTGAGAGGCAATGCGGCGGAGCGACACACAGAACTTCTGGGTTTGCACTTTTTTGACGCACGGGCCACGCCCACCTCCGCTCCAAACTCCGCAAACGCCTCGAAGATTGACGGCGACCATCATCGACGTCGTCGCATCGCTCGCTCCAACGGCAGGGTCCAGCTAAACCGCCGCCATGCAACCCACGGCTTCTCTCCAGAAGATGCTGCGGCGCCTGCCGCTTTCACCCAAACAGGCTGGCAAGGAATACTACAAGGGAAACCGCGTGGGATCCATGGGCACCATCAACCGATACGGAAACTTCACACCCGACTGGAGCAAGATACGGACATATGTGTACCCAATCCACGGCACACATAACATCGAGGTGCGTACAATGATTTGTTCGGCTTGCGACAGCTAGGAAGATATTGTAGAGATCTAATGCTAACATCTGCATAGTTGACACCCTTCGTAGACTCCAGTCTAGAAAAGGTGCGAGGACTCGACGTCGGCAAAGCAGAGAACTACGAAAAGCGATTCACCGGTGAAGACTACCTGAGGGCGTGGAAGCTGGCCGGTGGACATGATCTGGTGGAGACAGGGAGTGAAGCGGTAGCCACAGGCAGGAATATACCCACACCGTTCGAGGAGAGACCTGCAACGAAGTCATGAAGACGGCCGAGGAGGACTCAGGGCGACTACAATATCTCGGGACCAATATCGAGAGGGAAATGATATGAAGAAGCGGTGGAACACACCACGATGCTATGGGGAAAAACCTAGCGCATGCGCACCATTGCGACAAACACAAATATAGCGGGGCGCTTCGCATAACCTTGCCACAGCGCCGTGTATGAAGACTTCGAGGAAGCATAGCGTACGTAAAAGCCAGACGGCTATGATGTTGTATATATTGTACATTACTTGGGTATCATATGCTCCCATCTGACCATAACACTTACACATCATATCACCACACCCCTCATCACCCCCTCCTCAACCTTCTCTCCTAACACCAAAGAAGTAATTCCCCCACTGCTGACTCCCCGCCACCTCCTTCCACCCCAACCCAGGCACATACACAACACCCATACACTTGACATTCCCCCAACCCGGTTGTTTCGCAAACCAACTCCTCAACTCCTCTTCGTTGACGTATTTACTCCACTCATGCGTCCCCTTGGGCACAATGCCCAAAACATCCTCTGCAACCACATTCGTAACTACCCAGCTCGTCCACGTCCGCGCGATGGTGCTCATTATCAACCAGCCACCAGGCTTCACATGCGGGAGGACGTGTTCGAGGAACGGGCCTGGCGCGTTTACGTGCTCGATTACTTCGAATAGCGTAACAATGTCGAAAGCTTCTGTGTCTGATTTCGGACGCGGCAGGTCTTCGATAGACGTATTCAAGTATGTAAGTTTACCGGGCGAGGTAAGTGTGGGGTCGCGCCTCTTGTGCGCTTCGGCGATGGAGAGGACTTGTGGTGTGGGATCGATTGCTGTGACGGAAGTAGTGGTGGGTAGGCGCGCGGCTGATTCAGCGAAGATGCCGCCGCCGCAGCCAATGTCTAGATATCGCAGTTTCTCAGACGGGTTTGGTGGGGACGTCGAAGAGCGGCATGAAGTTATGAAGTCGTGGCGGAGCGGGTTCATGAGGTGGAGGAGGCGGGAGGGGCCGTGGGGGTCCCACCATGACGATGCGAGCGCGTTGAAGTGCGATACTTCTGTTGGGTCGACGGTGGAGGTGGTGTTGGGTGTTGGGTTATGGTGTTTGGGGGCGGTGGTGGATATGCATCGCGAGCTTGGTGGTGGTATTCGGAATGGGGATTGCTTGGTTGCTGGTCGATATGATGAGGTTTGTGGTAATCCTCTCTGTATTGAGCGCAATGCTCTGGCTGTGGATTGTGGCTTCATAACGACAATTGAAGCTTGTTCGTGCCTGTGAGACGCGGTGCACGTTGATGTCACCAAAACTTTGGATCTGCGGCCTCGGCCATCATCATTTCTTAGTCATCCCTTATCGATAAAGTGACCCGACAACCCATCATGTCCATGCTTCATTCAATCTTCAATATTGTCCAACGAGGGCTTGCTATTCTTTCCTCAAGTCTATAAGCTTGACGATAGGTCCAAGCCTACCACCTTTTAACTTAATATTGGGCAGGGCACATCCTCTGCTCACACAGCCAGGCGCACTTCATCTCCTAATCATCAATCGTCACCGTCGTCGGAGATGAATATGACGTACATGATGCAATAATTGCTAATGGCCAAAAAAAAAAATCCAGAATGACGACAGTTTGTTAAACAACGTCAGCATGTAGAGCTAAAGGTCATTCGCTGATGTGTCGCGCTTACCTGACAGATATCGCCTGGATGAGGTCTTGTCAAGTCTAACCTATTTAGGACGAAAGGCGCATCTGTATACAGCGGGTGTACTTAAAGTCGCGCCCTCACAACTTCAAACTTCAACCCCAACCCGCTCTTCTCACTTCTAACTTTCCTCAAGAATACTACTCTGTTCAAAGCATCCAAAATGTCTCACGGAATATGGACACCAGAAAACTTTGGCTGGATCGCCGTCCCAAGGAACCGTTCCAACGTCCCATCTGCTGAAGATGTTAAAGAGATGAACAATAATTTCTACTCAGACCCCATGGACGCCTGGCCCGTAACCGACGTGACAGGCAAGGCGCAAAAGTATGCACAGCAACATCTTTCGAAGGAGACCTACAATCACAGCATGAGAGTGTTCTGCTACGGTACGTACCCTTCGACACCTGTACTCCCCATAGCCACGATGATGCCACCAACTATAAACTTATCATGTCTACTAACACTGTACAACAGGTACCTACATAATCCAACATTACTTCCCCGAATACCATTCTAAGGCCTTCTTCGAAACCTGGGCACTGACCTGCCTATTCCACGACATCGGCACAACCGACGAAAACATGTCGAACACGCACATGTCCTTCGAGTTCCAAGGCGGCCTCCTCGCTTTGACCAAGTTGCAGGAGTTCGGCGCGCACAAAATCCAAGCAGAGAGCGTTGCCGAGGCCATCATCCGCCACCAGGATCCCGGTGAGACGGGCACGGTTAGTGCGATGGTGCAGATGATTCAGATTGCTACTGAGTTTGGTATGTCAAACTCCTGTTGTTGTTGTTTGTATATTCAACTGACTGACCTCACTCAGATAATATGGGACTACAACCGCATCTTATAGGCCGGGAGGTTATCGAATCGGTGACGGCGCAACTACCTCGAATGGGCTGGTCGGGATGTTTCTCGAGCACCATTCTGAAGGAGATTAGATTGAAGCCTTGGTGCCATACTACGGCGTTGGAGAACTTTGCCGAGTCTGTGGCGGGGAATGAGCTTATGAGACCTTTTGAATGAGCGGGGCATGAATGAGGGCAAGGCATCAAGATGATGGGAAACGACGATATGTATAAGAAGATATAAGATTGCAGAGCTGCAGTAGTATATAAAATGCGAACAAGCCTTTCCAAGCTCATTACTTGCGAGTACGAGACTGTGAGACCCGCCAACTCCCAACCCACCACCCCCTGCATCGTGACGTGAAAAGTGCTGAGAGCCACTAGATTTCAACCCTCACCTCGGATCATTAGTATCAGTCACCGAATAAGTGACGCACCGATACGTGTATCTCCCAGCATTAAACTTATTCTTGATAGTATTACACTCTTTGACCAACTTGCGAACCGCATACCGACAATCATCTTCATTCAATTTCCAGTTGAAGCCTCTGCCACAAAGATTAGCATCGCTGAAACACACATCGCACATCAAGATAAAGATAAAGACTTACTCGCACCACTCCATATCCCCATATGGTTCCTTCTCCCCTGTCTCCACCGTCGCCACATTCATACGCATATGCATGGGCGTATGATCGTTCGGGTAGAAAGGCGTCTCGCCTTCTGGCGGATACATGAAGCCATCGGCATTGTTTCCGAATCCGTCGATCGTGGTGCCATCTTTACACCATGCGCTGATCGCCTTTTCGATGTCATCTGGGGCGATTTTACGGTTGGTAAAGGTTGTTTTCGGATCCCAACATTGGGTTGTGTGGGGTTTAGTGCTGTCCTTGGCGGTCAGAAATTCTGGTGCGGGAAAAGCTGGGTGTTCGTTCCAGGGAGGGTTGTCGAGCTGCGTGACGCCGCTGAGGTCGAGGCTGTAGTCGATGGTGCCGACGGTAGCCGTGAAGCCGTGGGTGTTGTCGGAGTTGGGGTCGCAGGTGCTCAGGCCGTTGGTGAGTGCGGCAATGCATTCGTCTTTCACAAACGAAGCTTGTTGGTTGTTGCCGTTTGGCTTAGCGCGCAGCCAGAATGAGCGTCGGTCGGGTACGTCGAGTTGGGTGATGCCCCAGCGCCAGTATACGTTGTCGGATTTGGCGTTGGAACTGAATTGGTGGCCGTCGTTGTCGCTGCACCAGGTTCGGATGGCTGACTCGACGCTTACCCCTCCGGAGGTGGTCTTGTCGTTCTTTGGTGCGTCGAGTGGGTGGTTCAGACACTTGACTGTGGAGTCGATTTGATGATGCGCGGTGAAGGAGTATGTGCCACAACCGATGTCGATACCTCCGCTTCCCGCCAAGAACTTCTTGCCATCGCCTACTGAACACGAATCTCTCTCCGTCAGTCCTTGGAAGGCTTCTTCACATGAGAATTCACAGTCGGTGGCGTTGTCTCCAGTCTTGGGTCTCCACCACAAGGCGAACTTGTAGTCACTAAAATCGTCCGAGGAGTCTCGTCTCCAAAAGCGTCGACGGTTCAGCTGCGACTGTTCTCCCTTCGCGTTGACCATCCAAGTAACGTCTTCGGTTGAGCCATCGGCCTTCTCACAGAAGTCAGCGTAAGTGACGTTGAACTCCGAAACCGGGAACTTGGTGTCCTCGTTGGGCATACAGAAGCTGAATACATCTTTGATGGGGATCTGCGGCTGGTACGGAACTATCCATGGCTCCACTGTCATCGTTCTCACAGCGTATTCAGTTGGTGTGGCAGTCGGCAAATCGGTCATCTTCGGACATTGTGTTGTGCATCTCTTGATCTGACCGATCATGCTGCAAAATGCCGAGCATTCCTGCGTGCTGGATGAGCTCGAGCTACTGACAGTAGAGGTCATCGACGATGTCGGGGTGAATGACGTGATCGAGGGCGTCAGTGAAACTTTCACCATCTCCTTGAGCTCACTACCGGGGATGCGAATGGACGGGGATATGGGGCTCCCAGTAACTGACCGTTGGTAGTTCACCATGAAGACAAACAGTGCTATAAGCGTCGCTTCGTGCGCATACAACATAATCTGGTCGGACATCTCTTTCGCCATATTCATTACAAACTCCATTGCTTCTTGCACATCTGGCTGTATCCAGGTAGGAATCTCGGTTGTCATCGCTCCCAATGAGTCAAGAGCTTCGAAGGCGGCACCTGGCGAGGCATTGAGGAGTACTTGCTTAGTGGAGCAAATCACTCCGGTGAGCTGCTCACTGAAGTCCAGACTACGAGCTCTTCGTGATGATGAGAATTTGTCATCAATAGTACATTGCTGACTTCTGTCGATCAATTCTGTCATCCGCTTTCCAAGAGCCTCCGGGATGTAGATTTCAATGTCGCCAGGGGAACCGTTGTTTGCCGAATTGGTGAACATCGTCTGATGAGGTGCATCGGTGCTGCGCACGTTTAGTTCAATGAAGTGAAGAGGGTAATGACATTCTTACGCTGTGGTTAGAGTTGCATCGGGTTTCCGCGTGATTGTAATGATTGGCGCGTCAGATGCAGTGGCTATAGCAACCGTGGATGCTTGCGCTGCGGAAGCTGCTGGTCCCAGTTGATGAGCAGGGGCGTGGAGAGCTACGGGTACACCTTTCGATGAGTTGGAGGTCACCGGTATGATATAAGCAAAGAAGACTGCAACCGCTGCTCCTACTCCATACAGCAGCTCTTCTACTTGACGTGTTTCCAATTCGGTATTCGGGCTGACGAGAATGTCTTTGATACTCTCAAAGCATACATCATCAAGGTCGACGCAGGCGCTGTCCAGAGCGCTTTCGACTTTCCCGCGCAGTTCATCTGAAAGTATGACATCGACCCCGTCGTTGGGGCTGGGCGAGTCGGTAAAGACAATGCGTGATCCAGTAAGAGTTGGCGTGGCAGTCTAATTTTGTCAGCGGAACGGCTCTCATGTCCGTCAGTCGATATCGCTTCATACCAGAGTCGCTGAGTATTGTTTGGTGTCACCCAAACTGAGCGTGAAGATCTCAGCCATTGAGACTGACGAAAGTGCTCCAAAACTGATCAAAACGATGGGACGAACCATGATACGAGATGAGAGATGAATATGTGATGAGGTCAAATATAAAGCGAAGTACTACTGGTAATCCGTTGGTGTCTGTCTTGTCAGATACTGCCAGCATGGCGGTTCATATACACCCCCAAATACTGAACAGTCATGCATCTCAATCCAAACTTACAACGTGTGCATCAAGGAAGTCGAGGGTCAGTCTGCATTTCGGCCCTCCGTCTATCCGTCTACCCAGTCTATCTGTGCCCCCTCCTGCGTCTGGTGTTGCACCTAATGCCGTATGCTGGCATCAAGAGGCACAGGCGCGAAGTTGGGGGGCCGAGACAATCAAAGTGATTGAGGGTGTTAAGAGGACGATGATGTAACCGATAAGCCGAGTGTGTTGTGATGTCTGACTTCTCCAACATGATTGCCGGTCATGCACGCCAGCTTGCCTCGCCACCTCAAGCATACATTTAGGGGCTGATGTCCTTATGTGATTCGGCGAAGACACAAGACACATGTGACAAGATGACATAGCAGGATATGTATGAGGAAGGTAACAGCTTCTGTGTACCACTGACGGAATAAGAGAGGTCACATTCTCCTGCAAATCACCCCTCGAAGGTAAAGAACGTCCAATCCGTTGAATATCACCTGTCCCTGGAAGCGAGATGAGCACATTGCTTGGAAGAGAACTGTGGCATAGTCGACTGATCTGCCACATGTGCCACTAAGGTTGACCAAGTTCGGCTGCTTTCAGAATTTCGTACAACTCCTCGCGACCGCGTTCCTGCGCGTACTCGATTGGCGTCGTTCGACCTACCTTGTACCGAATGGTAGGATCTGCACCATGTTTCAGCAGATACAACAGTTTCTCTTTGGCGTTATGTCGAACGGCGTGGTCGAGCGGCGTAGCCCACTTCTTTGACACGTAGTTGACATCGGCACCATGATCGATCAACACAGCCATAGTAGCGATGCCGTTCCTTTGGCCCCGAACTCCAATGGCGCTAAACAGTGCCAACGGATCCATAGTGGCCCCATGAGACAACAGAATCTGCAGTGGTGTTGCGTCTTCCCGACGTGCCGCTGAGGCGAGGGCGGTACAAGGCTGCAGACATGACCCTCGTCTTACGGACTTGATGTTTGGGTCTGCGCCGTGATCGAGGAACCAGCGTAGTAGGTTTTCGGAACGCTGAGCTCGGCTACCAAAACGTGAGAAGCAGACTGGGTAGAATGATGATAGTGCTCACTGGACAGCTGGTGTTTCAAACTCTGTGCTGTTGACATCCCAGCCATGATCGATGAGTTCTTGGAACGCGGCAGGCTCATCTCTAGCGAAAGCTGCGTTGAACGATAGAATCGATAACGTAGCGCCATGGTCCAGCAGAGTTTTGAGCATGCGCAGTGATCCATTTCGCATCGCAACGGTTAGGCATCCTTGTAACTCTTTGTAGCTCGGCTCCGGGTGGCTATGAAGCCATGCTAGGAGCCTATCAATGTCGTCCGATCCGATAGCATCCTGTATCTGCGGGGGCGGGAAGTTCATGTCGCTGGTAGAAGAAAGTCGAGGGTGTCAAGGCTACGCGCCATGATATCGAGGAGGGCAAGCATTACATACATGAAACGTGCGGCACAGATATGTGTATGTTTGGGTGGTAACACAATCGAATTGATTCCCGGGGCTGATTGACGTCATGCCAAGATGCCAACCACCTCCGATAGCCCCCGCCTCACGTGGCCCCTAATTGTTTGGGGAACCGTGCGACCTTCGTTGGGATTGGCACCACCAACATCTTCTCTATCTTTCGCGCTTTTGGTGTGCGATAGAGATAGCCCCCGGCACAGTCGATAGTAGACACACACCTGTTTCATGTTTCATGTGCCATGCCTCTATTCTGTAGCTCGCCTCATTGAGGCATGAGTGGCACCTTCCTGGCTACGGCCTTAGTCGGCATTGCTTACCTACCCCAGAATTTCTATTGCTCCAGTTTCGCGGATTCAGTATTTATCAAAGCATGTCCGCCCGTAGATGACCAGAAGGGTAGAGAACTACTCGCGTGAGTTCGTTGCGACGTGTTGTACCATTCCAACCCGTGTAGATCAGCCATCGCCCGCGCTCCCTGAAGACCTTACAAACACCGAAGTGCACGAACCACAGATCTCAAAATGAGGAGAGGCATCCTTTTCGCAGTGCTACTCGCCATCTACTGCTCGACCGCTAATGTTATCTTGCGTAAGTTAGGTCCCTACTTGCTGCCTTAGTAGCATGACATTGGACTAATCAGAAGCTAGGATACGCGACAGATGTTGAGAGTCCGAACCAGAAGAGGACCGAACTGATCGAACACGATGTCAGACAACTTTCTTCGCTCGGTAGCCACCTCCACCGCCGTGCTGGTCGTGCGAAATGTAGCGCGCCTCACCGAGGACCTGGCATCGTCGAAAGGGGCCTAGAAGTCTCTTTTGACAATTCTACCATTCAAAGGCGAATGAATCTTCCCAGTTTCGACAATATTGACGACTACATTGTAGCGGAGACTGGAGAAGCCGAGGCAGTCGTTTGGGGTCAACGAGACGGTAACAGTGACGAGAATGAGTTCGACACCAACACGTCGATATTCGACCAATTCAAGTTCTTTCAGGAGAATCAAATGAGTCAGGGCACCTCGCATCTTATGGGCTGTACTATGCTAGTCATTGTCAGTCGCAGAGGTGTTTGGATGGGTCATTTCTGGGAAAACATCTCCTTTGACACAGACCACGACCACCACTTCTGGGATAAGTACAAGGGAGACCAAGACAAAATCTTCACCGAGACTGTTATCAAGGGTATGCGGAACGGCAAAGGACGTGGGAGAAACAAGCAGCAGGACTCTTTGAGGTTGAATGCCGATAAGTTCAAGGACAACCATGTCAAAGCTTACCTCATCCATCCCGAAACCAACGCCGATGAAAGCGGTGACTATAGAGAATACTGGGATAAGATGAAAGAGGAAGCATGTATCTATCTTCCCAAGCTTAGGGAACCAACCCGCTGGGAAGAGCATTCATACGAACCTACGGACGACAACGATATACTCGACGAAACCCCACGCGGGAGACTGCTGTTCAAATACGACGCAAAGCATCTCCGCATCGGACCGAGTGCTGATCCTGCAGGCACACCCTTTCAAGAGCATCGAGTAATGCTGTGGAGCGAGACGAAAGAGTTGCATGAAGATGGATGGACTGCGGGCACCATCGAGAAGTCCTGATGCACTCTGTCTTACTGTGCAATATCAAGCGACTCCACCGCTTTCGCCGCCAACTAACCCCCAATCCTTGCAAGGCTATTTGTAAACGCCCCATTGTTTTCGTTTTAACGATCTTCGTTTTTTGCGAATATGAATGTTCAACACGGTTTTCTCACGAGAATCTCAGCTTCACCATCTAGCAACGTCGATTGTTTTTCTTTCTACCCAAACTGTACTCTTGCCTCTTTGGGGGTCAAGGACTCTGCCCGTCACTATCGTTACCAACGCTACATACAATTTACTACCTAGTCCCAATGTGCGAATCACTACATCATCATTGACATCCTTACATCTCGTGTTTCAAACTGGCCTAAGCCCCCTGATCCTCCTACTTCTCCTCTTCATCCTCGCTTCCAACATCTCTGCCAACTCCACATACCCACGCTTCCTAGCATCATCCGCAGCCGTCGACCCAAAGCAAACCACCTCAGGATCCGCGCCACATTCGAGCAAAACCTCCACCGCCTCTACATTACGCCACCGAACAGCGCACTTCAGCGGCGTACCCCATCTCTGCGACACAACATCCGGAGGTACACCCTTTGCAAGCAAAAACTTCACCGACTCAGTAACCTGCGAGCGGATAGCATGAAAGATGACCGACGCATCCGGTCTGGCGCCAAACTCAAGCAAAATGTCCATAGCCTTCACCGAGCCACACGAAGCCGCCTTCTGTAACGGTGTAGCAAAGTCTGCGCATGAGCCTACCAACCGAGGATTCGAAACGACATTGAGCTCTGCGCCGTGTTCTAGCACCCAGCGAAGAGTGTTCTCTTCATAGATCGAAGCCCTTGGTTGTATGTTAATCGTGATATTCGCTCATGCAAGAGAAAATATGCATACCCAGCCACGCTTTCTCCGTACCAAAGTCCTTTTCCCCTCACATCCCATCCCCACTTGAACATCAGATCCAGTAAGCTCGTGTCCTGGTTTCCCCTCTCCAACGCAGCATCAAATGAATGACGCGTCAACTTCGCCTCATGTCTGAACAATACTTCTAGGACGTCGAAATCCGCCTGTGGCATCGCCACATCAAGACAATGATCTTTATCTTTCTGCGTGATGGCTCTTGTCCCCTTTCGAGGGCGTCCTTGCTTGGTGAATTTGGCTTCCAGGCCATCGACGTCGTTGTTCTTGATGAGCTCTTCGAGCTCTTGAGTTAAGCCCATGTCAGCAACCTCTCCGGGGTATAGAGGCCCGATGATACACGTAATCATTGGTGCGGTTGTGACGGCGGTGAGGTTGAAGGATCGATGTCTGCGCGACACCAACAAAGGTCTATTTGAAGAGCGGTCGATGTCATGCCAAGATGGCAGCCTACAAGATCCATGGGAGTTATGCATGTGTACGGCGTGGTTGTACCATCTCACTCCCGGTCGTTGGATATAGATCTGGAACAGCCTACCAATGGGAATATGAGGAAAATGTACTTCATTGAATACAAGGCTATAAAGGAAGCTGGAGTTGTGACCGTAGCACCATCCAATGATCGACCCTACGACTTGCACACGAACAGTGTATTCCACAGCCGTTAACCATTTTCGTCGTTTCGCCATTTCAAACGCCGATATGCCCACCCTTCCAAGTATCATGATATCGTTGCAAGGTTGCTAAGTGCATGCTCAACGAGTGACTGGCCGTGCCAACATGAGAAATAAATGGAACCCAAAAGAAGCCAAACATGTACGCCTTAACCGTCATCCCATGCAGGTGTGCGCCATGTTTATCCGAGAAGTTTGTCCTTGGGTAGACGCTTGAGGGCTGCCTCAACGTCCTTGTGATCAACGACCACGCCGCTCTCAGAACAACGTGCTTTAGCGCGGAGCTCTGAGCAGAGATTGTCGATGTCGATTGTGCCATCCTTGAAGTCTGGGCGACTTGAGAGCTTGTCCCTGTGCGGTGTTAGCGTACCAGTTCTGATGTGATTACAGGGTTGTACTGACCATATCTTGTGGCAGTTGAGCAGCGAGTTGACATCCTCGCCGGGGACTACCTCGTCCTCACCATCTTGTATGCGCTCAATTTCTTCAAGAGGATTCGTCTTCTGCACAGCAGGTGTGTCGCCGAAGTGGAAGGGGCTCCCGTAGCCAGTGTTGAGGAAGGCATCGTTGAAGAAGCCACCAGTGAAGTCGCCGTCGCCCACGATCGCATTCTGGGTATCGCGATACTCGCCAAAGAGTGTCGGGTCGAATTGACCGCCGTTTTGGTTCGCGAAGTAATCGATGCCGTTGACGGCGGGCGTGGGTGATTTGGCGGCTAAGACTGCAGGAGAAGGTTTGTCGTCAGATTGGGACATCGCACGAGGCATGGGATTACGAGGGTTGCCGCAGGCCATGTTGAGCTTTTCGCAGAAGAGAACCTCACCTTCGGAGTTTCCATGACACACATAACCGTCCTTGATCGTGTCCAACTGCTGATTGGGCGAGGTATGACTTGGCTCTGGTGATGTCCCGCAGGAGGAGTCTTGGTTGGTAGGCGATGTGGATGAGTTGGACGGTGAGTCTGAATGGCTTGATGAGCCACTGTTAAACTGGAATACACGCGATTGCGAACGAGTGGAGTTCTCCGTATTACTGCGGGAGGGTTCGTTGTTCGTTTTGTTGTTGTTGTCGAATCCGAAGAAGCCGTTGAGACTGCCGGAGCGCTGCGCACCACCCGGGCCCATGGCGCCAGGGGAATCTGTGAGCGAGCCGTTGGCCCTGCTGGTCGGGCTAAGGGCGCGTCCGGTGCTGTTTTGGCGACCAGATGCATTCGACGAAACCGATGTGTTCTTGTTCTTTGCTAAGGGACCGTTGTCTAGTAGCTGGGCGCCAGGAAGTCCGCCGAAACGTGGGAACTCGAAGGAGAAGTTGTTATTGTTGCTATTGTTGTTCAGCATAGAGCTGAAGCCTCCAGCAAGAGCGGGAGTTCGAGACACTCCGGTGCTGTTAAGCGATAGTCGCTTCCGGTATTCGCGAAGTTCCGTTTGCAGCCGTTGCACTTGTGCTCGCAAGAGACCGTTCTCGTGGTTCGTGGCATCGGAAGCCTTCTCAAGTTCCTGTACTTTGGTCTCGAGGTCTTTCAGATGCTTTTCTTTGCGTTCTCGGAACGCTCGTTGGGCCGCGCGATTCTGGGCTTTCCGCTTCTATGCCTGCTGTCAGTTGGGCTAACGTGAGCATGCTCCATGAAACCTACAGTCGTGGGCTCCGAAGTCAATGGCTTGCGACCTGGCTTCTTGGCTTGCTTGTCTTCACCTTCCCTGCGCTTGCCGCCG